ATCTTTCTTGGTCTAACAGGACTGTAGATGTAGTAGATGTCTCAGACTGGAAGAGAATGATGGTAGAGGTAATATAGGGAGTGCTTACATTTGGAGGATTAAAGGGACACTGTAGTCACCAGGACCACTACTGCTTAATGAAGTGGTTCTGGTGTCTATAGCCTCCCAGCTGGATGAGCACTTTTCAGAGAAAAGGTAGTGTCTACATTGCTGCCTACGAACACCTCTAATGGTAGTCATTCAGACGGCCACTAGAGGTGCTTTCTAGTCTAGTTAAACACTATAATGTCAGGAATAAGTTTGTTTTCCTCACACTATAGGGTGTCTTTAAGTGAAGCAGTCTGCCAGATACCTCCTAACTTGTATAATGTCAGGCACCAGTTCATTATGAATGTCACATAAATAGTGTATCACCCATAACAGAGGGGAGTGACAAATGGTAGTGGTAGGAAAGTTAGGCAAATTTGGCTATTTGAAAAGGAAAAAAAGACAAACATACATCTCCTAGTGTAACCTTATACTAATAAATGTATTCTTATTTTGTATTTTACATCTGTTACCTATGACATTAACGTTTCACTGAAGAAAAAAACATGTGAGCACTATATGGTAATAATTGTCTGTCACTGTTATATTTTTTTCTTACGTGTTATAAGGGGAGGTGCATATATTTATAGCTAATTTTATATATATTTTATAAAGTTTTACATAATAAAAAGCACACATTTTGCCCAAATCATTTTCACATTCTTAGTATGGGGTATTAGTTTTAGGATAATTAAGATTATTACTGCAGGTAGGAAAGGCAAGGACAAGAATAGAAATAGGAGAGGGCCAACTACTGAGGAAGAGGGGGTTGAGGAGGGAAGTGAGGAGAGAGGGTGGAAAATGAGTTGTAAAGGGGAGAGGTGTAAGAAATAGGAAATAGGAGAAGACTAACCTTAAGTTAAAAGATGTGGAACTGTTGATGCTTAGAGGAGTTGTAGATACATGTCATAGATGAAGCATGAAAAAGGCTGAAACAATAGTCTGGGGATGCTCTATCTCTCATGCAAAGAGAGCTTGTCGACATTTCAATTCCTGACCATCCTTGTGGGTTGGATAAGTGCAGTATGTGACACGCCAAGGTTCTCTGTCATGGCACATGTGAGCAAAAACTTGTTTGAGACCTGAATGGGAGCTTACCAGAGGCTAAGATTTTAAGAAGAGAAGCAGGTCTTTGCTGAGGCCTATGTGGAAAGAAAATCTTAGATTAAAAATATAAACATGCAACAAAGCCTTGGTTGCAAACCAGTGTTTACTGTAGGATAAATTCCACACTGCTGTCAGTTGTCTTGTCCAGGAATCATCACTCCTATGGCTGCAAGAAGAAGGTCAAAATGATGATTAGGCAGGAGGGTCAAGTCTTCAAGTGAGCTAGAGTCACTAGGAGGACCCTCTAGAAGCAATATAGACTTAAATGTCATCAGTGGAATTGGGAGGACATTTAAGTAGAGATGTTGCGAACCGTTCGCGAACTTTCCAACATGGATGCTGTCCAGGAGGTGGGAGGGTGTGGGAGGGAGGGTCTGCTGGAGATTGGCCGGGATGTGTCAGCTGACCGGAGCTCACCGCGAACGGTTCGTGGCGAACCGCAGCGAGCCGTTCGCGGGAAGTTCTCGAACAGTTCGCGACATCTCTACATTTAAGCAGATCGAAGTGCTTTACAGCTGGAGTGTCTCTTTAACATTTTTGCTTTTATTATCTTTATGTCTATTTGTAGAATGCTATTTGTTATAGAGTTCATCTAATGTCCTTTCCTTTAAGTGATTTTTATCAATGCTAAAATGAACTATTAATCAGTATGTTCAAATCATGTTTAACAATGATACTTTCATTTTAAATTATGGGCTTTATTGGTCACCACACTAGACAATTCTGGGAATTTCTAGATAACTAAATGTATATGAAAAATTATATCTAATGTTTGCCAAAACATGTATGCTGCTTACATAATTGTTAATGATTAACACTTGATAAGATTAGTCAACTTATGATATGAACAGCTCCTATTTAATAATAAACCGTAGTTTACAATACAGCTTTATTTGTACATTGTTGTATGTATCCAAATGAATGTGGTTATACTGCCTCATTCTCTAAATGATAACAGTAGTGAATTAAGATCACAAAGACAATATGTTACTGGCATTAATGCTTCGATACATGAATAAATATCTGTGTTGTTATAATGTAACTTATCATTGATCATTTATTGGATGACATTTCTTCTTGCTAACTGTCCTGACTGCTGATGTTGTTTTATATTAAAGTCGATCTTTATTTTTTTCTAGCAATGAATGCCAGAATGATCCACACAAGTAAAATGCATCTTTAAAACCACAAGAAAATCTTTTAAATACAGCATTTGTTCTGAGGTGGTCCTGACAAGACCCACCTCAGACCAATATTTTGCTGTATACCATGGGTGACCAACCCGCGGCCTGGGACCGCTAGCATTGCAGGGAGTTCATTCAGTGGCGTAGGGGGCAGCAGGAGGAGATATGCGGAGGTGTGCAATAATGTGCTGTCCACATGCTCCACCATCACGGTGTTCTGAGCAAAAGCGCTCTGACTCTCTGGCGGGTGGTGCCGCGGTGTGAGAGTCTGGAGTCCGGATCAGCAGGTTGCAGCAAGCAGGCGGAGGGGCAGGGTAAGTGCTTACTAATATTGTTGTGTTTCTTTTTGTTTGTTTTTGTGAATGGGTTCTTAGGGGGTGAGCAGGGGTTTTTATAGAGGGGGTGGGCAGCAGGGGAGGGCTGGCAGCCTTAGGCCTGGGGGGAAAAACCAGTCAAATGGCCCACTGCACCACCAAATCAGTTCACCATCCATGCCCACCTTTTCCTGGTTTTATAATGGATATTGATGTTATGCTAATCAGTAGCTCTTTGCCATACCCGCTCCTTCACGGCTCTGACTTTCAATGTTGTCAGAGCGCAGGCTGAGAATCTCTGAGCCTATGCTCTGACTCACTAACTGAGCGCCGGAACCACGAGGGAGAGGATATAATCTGACTGCACCTACTGCTGGTGTGCACCAGTGGACCACCAGGGAATCGTTTAAATTGAATATGCTGGTGTCCCCAACTTGAAAGCTGTATTGGCCGCCGGGCGCCTCTGTTGTCATGACACCCTGCGTGACCGCACAGCGTGCACACCCCAACGGCTGGCCCTGCTGACACACGCTGATGTTACTACTTAGAAATACCTCAATATTAATACAGACATCAGAGTAAACACCAATAAACTGTGGAAACAGAGCTGATCCCCCCAAATTTATAAAGATTTGCTTAGTGGATTTGTTGTAAGATTAAATCATGCCTCCTCCTCTCTCTCTCCCATGCGCTGCTCTGTAGGCTGGGAGGAAGTGAAGAGTATTCACACTCTCCCAGCAAAGCGGCACCTGTGGCTGCATGGGGAACAGCTGAATTTGCCGCCCCCATGTGACATCACAATGCCCCACCCATATGATCTGCCATATGAACTAACGCCAGTGCTGTACACAGTGTGTGTTTACATTAAAAAGCCTGCAGGGACCGGCTATAGACACCAGAGCCACTTCATTAAGCTGCAGTCGTTCTGGGGACTATAGTGTCCCTTTAATGTGAGGTAAATTAGAGATTAGTGTCACTAATAATATACTAGATTGCCTACTTACAACCAGGTGAGGATGATGATGGGCTGCAGTTTGGCTCCACTGGTCTGGTGTAGAACAGGATCTCTGGAGGCTGTGGTCACAAAATTCAATGATCTTGGAAGCAGCTCCATTTTTATGGGGTCCCTTACAAAGCTCAAGATCTGGGCGCCAGGACCCGACGGTGAGGATACCAGTTTGTGTAGGTGATGTAGTGTGTTTGTGTGTAGTGGAAGCAGTGTGTATTTGTGTATAAGGGATGTGTTGTGTGTAAGGGATGCATTGCATGAATATGTGTTTGTATGCATAAGGGATGCAAGGTGTGTGTCTGTATGTGTGTTCATTGAGTGTGTGTAAGAGATGCATTGTGTTTCTGTGTGTATGTAAGAAAAGCAGTGTGTGTTTGCATGTGTGTGTAAAGGTTTGCATTGTGTGTTTCTGTGTATGTGTGCAAAGGGTGCATTGTCTTTGTGTGTAAGGGTTGCATTGTGTGTGTGTAATTGATGCATTGTGTGTTTCTCTGTGTGTAAGGGAAGCATGTTGTGTTTCTGTGTGTGTTGGGATGCATTGTGTGTTTCTGTGTATGTATAGGGATGCATTGTGTGTGTGCGTGGTGTGAAAGAGCTCCCTTTACAGAGCGCTCAGGCGGCTGCAGCATTAGGACCAGCCCTGCAGCGGCCGGTTTTGAAAGGATTTAGGGCGGCCTGGGGGACAATTGCCTCCCTGCCCCCCGGCCCAGTCCGCCCCTGATGGGCAGGGTTTATTGTAGAAGGGGGGGAGAGGTTTTTGTAGAGGGGGGACTGGACAGTGGTTTTTGTAGAGGGGGGCCTGGGCAGGGAAATTTTAGAGGGAGAGGGGGAGGGGATTTGTAGAAGGGAGCCTGGGCAGGAGTTTTGTAGAAGGGGGGACTGGGCAGGGGTTTTGTAGAAGGGGGGACTGGGCAGGGGTTTTGTAGAAGAGGGGGGGACTAGGCAGGGGTTTTGTAGAAGGTGGGGGTTTGTAGAAGTGGGACTGGGGTTTTGTAGAAGATGGGAGGGTTGTAGAAGTGGGACTGGGCTGGGGTTTTGTAGAAGGGGGACTGAGCAGGGGTTTTTGTAGAGGGGGGCAGGTGTTTTGTAGTAGGGGGGTTAGAAGGGTTTTTATTGCCTACTACCGCTGTAGTAAGCAATAAAAAAAAATGTGAATACATTAAAAAAATTAAAAAAAATAGTGGGTGTTTTTTTACATTCAAATTGGGGAAGGGGGATGCCAAAAGCTCTAGATACGACCCTGAGTCCATTACATTCTGTGCTCCTCCTGCACAGCTTCCTCACTGCCAGACAGTGAGCCTTCCGCCAGGATATGACATCGTCCCGGCATGACTGCTGGGCGCGCAAAGGACCTGTGCATGAAGAGCACAGAGGTCCGTGGCTCCAACATAGCAGCAACCACTGGCCACCAGGAAGAGGATCCACTCCAGTGCTCCCAGATCAAGTTAGGGAGGCTGGGTAGACCTCTTTAGTATTAAATGTGTGTGCATGTGATTTTTGTGTATGTTTTGTTAGTGGTTGGCTGTGTGTGTGGGTGGGGCAGGGATCTGTGGACATGTCATAACATAAATAACAACTATTATTATTATGTTATTTAATGTCTGTGATTGTGTGTGTGGGTCTGTGATTGTGTGTGTCTGTGATTATGTGTTTGTATGTGTGTGATTGTGTGTATAGGTGTGTGATTTTATGTGTGTGGATCTGTGTATGTATGTGATTGTGTGTAGGTCTGATTGTGGGTGTATGTATGTATATGATTGTGTGTGTGTGTGTGTGTATAGATCTGTGATTGTGTGTGTGGGGTATATCTGTGTATATGTGTGGGGGTCTGTGATTGTTGGTGTATGTATGTGATTGTGTGTGGGGTCTGTGATTGTGTGTTTGTACATTTGTGATTGTGTGTATGTACGTGACTGTGTGTATAGGTATGTGATTGTGTATGTGTGGGTCTGTGATTTTGTGTGTGTATTTGTGATTGTGCGTATAGGTCTGTGATTGTATGTGTGTGTGTTGGTGATTATGTGTATAGGTCAGTGATTATGTTTGTGTATCTGTGGTTATGTATGTGCAGTGTATGTGTTTAGTAGATAGCTCCTTAATTTGATATCCTTAAATATGACAATCCCACACAAGAATAACAAATAAGGGAGTTTTCTTCTAAACAATTGAAATATCAAAATTAAGAAAAGGGCTTTGAAAGATATATTACTTATATACATTATCTATAATCTATATTATATATTTGATGTGTGGCCCAAGACAATTCCTCTGCACTCAATGCGGCCCACAGACGTCAAAAGGTTGGACACCCATGCTGTATACTATGTAATACTCATAGAGCATTTATATAAAATGTATACGTTCTATTTGGAGATAATTGCTTCCATTGTCTTGTCTATCTTATGGACTTTGATGAAAAGTGTGAGATGTTCATCAAGTTTACTGAGCATAATGTATTAGATGTCAATTAGCATATGTTTAAAGTCAGCATTTGTTAACGGAATGGATGATATTAAAGTTTGTTTTGGTTGGTCTCCAATTTTGTGTGCAGAATCTTTATGGTCCAATAATGGTGGTTATGATATATCTTTCTCCTAGCAAAATATCAAACTTTGGTGGATAATTTTTCACACCCCAATCTCATTTAGAGCCTTAAGGTTTTAGGTAAATGTGAAGTTAATAAATAGAGATCATAAAATCTCTTCTGCTACAGTTAGCTGAATTTAGTCTCCAGGTGAAGCACGACTAACCTTTAAAGTGATCATCTTTGTCCAGATGAAGCACTCCCCATTGTATTGTATTTTATCTTTTTGTCAAAGCAAATGAACATTGTTGTGTCATAGTGGCATTGTTCTGCAAATGTATATATTACTTTATCTCCGTGATGGCGAACATTTTTGAGCCCGAGTGCCCAAGCCGCAATACAAACCAACTTTTTTTCCTCAAAGTGCCAACACGGCAATTAACCCTGAATACTGAGGGTTAAGTTTAGAAAAAACAACTCCTACAGATGCCTTCCATCCCACCCACCAATGATACGAAAGCATAGTACGCGCCTGCCGTTTTGGGCAGGTAGGTATTTACTCTGCATTGCCCCCAGGGGGCTTAAGGCTGCAGACCAGCGCCAGCGGCGCCCCTAGGGTGACCATATTTCCTAACTGCCATTCAGGGACACTTACTTTCACAAGTGCATTTCATCAAATTTATACTTGAGACTGTCAAAAACATTTCTGCCAGTGTATTTTTCAGTATTTCTGCAAACATTAACTGGCTACTTACATACTCACAGATACACACTGACACTCACAGATACACACACACTGACTAACACACATAGATCCACACACATGCTCACAGATGCACAGACACTCACAGATACACAGACACTCACATATACACACTGACACTCACAGATTCACAGATACACAAACACTCACAGATACACACACTCTGACAAACACAGACTCACAGATACACTGACACTCACAGATAAACACATACACTCCCAGATACACACATATACTCACAGATACATACACACACACCCACACACTCACAGATACTCACTGACACGCACAGATACATACACACACACCCACACACTCACAGATACTCACTGACACGCACAGATACAGATACACACATACACATACCTAAACATACACATGGGCAAACACAAATTGCAATTTACATTTTGTGGCGAAACAGACATCGCCACTGGGCATTGGAGAAGACTGATTGCCAGCCTCCTGCCATGTGACTATGGCCCCTGGGATGTATTGCCCTTTAAAGACATGATTTGGGCATAATGGATTTGTGTTGTGCTGCTGCTGGCCCTTTAAGAACCATCTGGGGACATACTGTGGAGTTACTGGGTGGCCACCATTTCCTGTATCAGAGGCACATGGTGAGAACAATGGATGAAGCACATGGTGAGAACAATGGATGGCGGCCATTTTAACTCACAGACACTGTTTGGACTTTTCAACACGGTGCCATCTCGCCAGTATTTGGTGCACAGAGACATCGTGCAGTGGTTTTGGACTATACAACAGGGGACACCTTATACAGTAATTGTTTTTCATATAGCCTGCATATGTTCTGTAAAATCTGCATTAAACTGTATTTTCCAAAGTACTGAATGGATCTGGGTGAATTTTGGATATGTGGTTCACCCAGATCCCCCGGTTCCAATTATATATTTTATGGGGTTATTGCGTGTTTTGGGGTCCCTGTGATGTGTTTTATGAAACTGTATTTCTCTGTCTGTGATAATTAGATTACCCATTGTAATTGTATCACAAGCAGAGGGGAGGATTTTGTGTGGGAGTGTCTGAGTGTATTGTACGTTTTATTGGTTGTTCTGTAAAACCCTGTGGGCAGTACTAAGTTTGTGCATTGGGAATAAAAGAGGCTGTATGTGCCAGTCCAGAGAGTTCCTGCTTAACCCTCAAAGTGAAGTGTTGTCTCATTATTGGGGGAGGATTTATTGTATGCTGTTCCAGTTTGACTGCTAGGAGTGTAAACCTATTCACATGGTTTTTCCTATTTGGCTGTATACAACATTCATATGCTTGAGAGCATTCATATGCTTCTCCGGTTCGGTGGTTGTGGTGTCTGCTACAGTGCTTGGAGTCCTCAGGAAGTGCTAGGATTCTTGATGAACTTGATGAACATCTCACACTTTTCATCAAAGTCCATAAGATAGACAAGACAATGGAAGCAATTATCTCCAAATATAACATATACATTTAGGCATCCTTCAATGGAGGTACCCAGTCGGGGTGCCAGGTGATCCGTTACACATTTGTTAACCATCCTCTGCTCCCATACCTTTAGTTTGCAGGGAAGTTAATTTCTGGGGCTGGCTGATGATGATGGGAGTCTGAAGGAGAAGCTGTTGAGCTCTCTCCTGCCTCCTTCTCCTTCTCAGTTGTTTGTTCAGTATCATGTCAGCCCGCGCGGTCTGTAGGCTGTAGCACTCTGCAACATTAAAGAGGCTTTTTTTTAACGTGGATGCTAACAACTATGTACTATACAGCCGCGGGCACTACACATCGTGGCTCAATAATATTCCAAAGGGCCAGCTGCAATGCATAAGGAGAAACTGTACAGATACAGAAGTTTTTAAAGAACAGGCACATCTTTTAATAGAGAGGTTCTCAAATCAAAAATATCCTAAAGAATTAACTGATAAAGCCTATAATGAAATGTTAATGAGATCAATCAGGGTGACCTCATAAAAATAAAGGATAATGAGTGATAACATGGATAATTCAGAGGTAGTAACCTTAGTATTTGAATTTAATAAATCACACAGGAATATAAAAGCTATTATTAATAAACACTGTCATCTTTAAAAAAAAAAAAAAAAAAAGACAATGAATTAACTAGAATAATTCCAGAAAAAACTTTTATCACATTTAGGGGATCCCCGAATTTTAATTAGATTTTAACACATAATCACACCTAAAAATGAAGTCACAAGACATTTGAATGGTAAAAGAGGTTTTTACTCATGCAATAAATGTAAAGGTTGTAAGGTTAGTAGGAAGAGTACCCTAGAAGGAATAAACAAATTTAAGACTAAATACAGTGAGAAGGAGTTTTTTTTTATCGACGATTTTATCACGTTTTACTAGAAATGTTGTTAAAAATCTTTTAATATGCCTATGTGGCTTACAGTATGTGGGTCATACTATTCACCCACTACATGTAAGGATCAGTGAACATGTAAATAACAGTTTGAAAGGATACACACAGCACAGCGTTTCAGCACACTTCAAAGACCACCACCAAATGGACCCTAGAGGGCTCACTTTTCTGGGTATACAGATAGTGAGTAAACCATATAGGGGGAGGGGGGAGTGGCAACAATTTTTAAAAGATAGGTAGGGAAGAAGTGGGTGCATAGACGTGAAACATTGGCACCCCAAAGTTTGAACATTGAATTTGACCTTTTTAATTTTTTATAGATTATTTTTTATTATAAATTTTTTATCAATCATTATTATAAATAAAAGATTTTTACATTTTAACTATAACTATCTTTTCTAATTTTATTAGTTAATTATTAGTAATTATTAGACTGTTTTTCTGACTGTTAGGTCTTACTTCATTTCTTACCGGCAACCATGGTAAAATCTTTTTAACATGTTTACTTTATGTTTTACTCTATATAAGGATGATTGTGCAGTATTCCTTTTAACTTTGTTTCTCTTTTTCTCCAATAATAGGTTATCATTTTAAGATTTTAATTTGTTTATATGCATATGTGGTTATTCATATATTTGTATATTCATATATTTGTATGCTGGTTTTGGTAGCAATGTATATTTTCAGACATTTAGGAGATATACCCTCTTTTTCAAAAGGAACTGATAATGCTTTTGGGACTTCTGTAAATGTTTGAGACATTTAGTCTCAACCTATGAACACTGATGAACTATTAAGGCTTTACCTATGGACATCTTTCAATTGAGGATGATTTGGATGTTTTATGCCATAACATATATACTGACTGTGAGCAATGTG